GGTGTGAATTTTGATCCATTTCTAAAAATAAAACTGAGCAATTGACTACTCCTGCTTATTCTATCATTTACGAGGGCTTACCTTCAGTTTTCAGGAATCATTATTGGGGATTTATTAATTTTTCTTCGTATTCCGAATTTTATAGCTAGAGAAATGCCCAGTTCATGCCATGAGATGTCCTGGCAGGGAATCATTAAGAGGGAACTGGGCATCGTCAGGAAATTTAGTTTTCTTTCTTTTGACTTCCGGTATAGAACGTTCTCGGTTCGCGGAAAGAGAAAGCTTAGGTACTTATCTGCCTTCAAACTCACGGTGACTTACGTAAAAAGCAATACTGAGGAATCACTTTAACTTGCCTATAACCCTTAAGGTGGCTTACTACAGTTTTGATGGAGTATTAGAGCACATTCTTTTGAAAAATGTTCCAAGATGTTTTTCCTCTCTATATTTACCATTTGCTTAAGCTATTTTCCATTTTATGTGAAATTTGAACAATTTAAACCTAAATAAATGGCCAAAATGAACGACCGAATGCCTAAGGAGAGACTGGGCACAAGTTGGTTTAATAACGAACCCACCTCAAAATTGTAGAAATAAGAAATTGGCTATGATTATAAACAATCGTGAAAACTAAAATAAAAATCTGTTAGACAGATTTTTCGCAAACTGAAACAATGTGAAATTTTGCCTATTTCAAAAATAGCTCAGTCCAAATCTGTCTTACAGACTTTTTTTAAAATTTTGGTTCTATACATGATTCACCCCTACATATCAACAGTGAAAATTTCATCATGGGTTATACCGGGTAGGTTTTCGAGCAATTTTGGATCCGCAAAGGTTTTTACAAATTTTACAATTTTGAATCAAAGGCTTTTACAAATTTAGACGAGAACTGAACTGCGCATACCTTTTATTTAAGCGCGCGCTTGTATGACTCTATGTATCGCGTGCGAAAAAACAAGAGTAAATTAGAACTCTTTCAGTGGTTGTTTATCGACTTTGTTTGTCAAATTTTATTGGTCCTAAGCTTGAATGCATGTTTGAAAGCAGTTTTTAACTATCGCTACTTATACTAAAGTGGTTTAACGCGATTCAAGTGCTGAAGTTGTTTCTACCTCCCCTTCCGATGGACTGGTAATTAAGTTCCTCGTTCTTTAAAGCAAATCGTCGTGACCTCTGAATAGGACAAAAAAAAAAAAAATCCTACTTTCAGCCGGTTGTTTTGCGGGGGTAAGAGCGCGCGCACCAGGTCGCGCGTACTTTTCAATGCGCTCGCGTAACTCGTCGGTAAATGACAAAACAGAAGAAACATGAACGTCACAAACGAACTGAAAAGACAGCCTTGTACAGATAGTCCAAGATTAATGGAATCAGAGATGGAAAACCAAACGTCTGTCCTGCGCAATTTGTCCGTTGTCAGTTGTCTCTGTATTTCTTGTGTAACAAATGTTTTGGCAGAGACGGCAACAATCTGGGCGCAGAGGATTTGCGCTTATGTTCAAAGTGAATTTCAGGAGTTCAGTGATATTCAAGAAGATAGCGCGGGGGTCGAGCAGCATACAGATCCCGCATTTATAACGTACATAAAAGGAGAGATCCTAGACCCTGATGCACATTCTCAACAGACAGGGCCAGAAAAAGTTGAAAGTCGCTATCTCAAGAAAACAACTCGAGAGAAGAACAACAAGAAAGCGCGCAAAGTAAAGAAACATACACCGACTTGTCAGCAAAGGAGCGAGGTTGGAAGACAACCAGATTTGCGGGTGAAACCTCCACCAGTTGAAGAACTTGTTTTCCGCAGAAAGGGAAGTTTTGTCAGCACGGGGAAAGTTTCTCCAGGTTCAAGAGAACCTCATCGCCGAGAGTGTTCAGGCAAAAGAATATTTTCCGGTCATTACCATCAGAGTCAAGACTGCTACGATTATTCTCAAGATACAGTTATACACGACTCAGTTAACAGCCAAGCTGGAGCTGAGAAAAGTACTAACCACCTTCGGTTTCCTGGCATCTTATTAGTTGTTGCTGTAGTCACTGCACTGGTACGTGGGGTGGAAAAGGTTTTCGCTCACGTTCAACGTGAATGGATAGAGTTCAACGATATTTGCGGGCATCACAGTGCAGATGTGCAGTATACAGAACCCGCGTTCATAGCGTACTTGACAGGAGATGGTGCAGCACCATTTGTATCTTGCCCGCACGTAAAGTTCAACATGCAACGTGTAGAAGTATTATTTGAAAGCCTGGACAATATTGCCACAAGTCTCAAGAAAATTTGATTGATTGAATACTTACAGCACTGTTGCCTCTTGAACGCTTTGTAGCAGAATTTGCTTACTTTGTAAAGAGTAAAACATATATCTTAATTTTTAAATATTGACACAAGGAACGTTGACTTATGTAACTTTTATTTACTATATCGTTTAGTAAAGTTAAACATTTCAAACGTACAGCTATGGATTTTCCTTGATAACCTGCTCCTTCTTCTTCTTCTTCTTCTTCTTCTTCTTCTTCTTCTTCTTCTTCTTTCCTCTTCTTCTTTATCTTTTCCTGTTCAGTTAACCCTCTTTTTGCTGGAGAACATATACACACCTTTTGATTTTACACCACCTTTCTGTTTCACATAGTCGACCTTAAATCGCATCTGATGGCTTAATTAAAAAAAAAATCTTTAATTCTCGAAGATCTTTCGCAGCCACCCTAAAGGCAGAGTTGCTTCGATCTTATTCGCAGCCTATTGTGTTTAATCGTCCGAACACCCACGCATGCGCAGGACTGCGAGAACTCGATCTAGCGGAGCTGAGGCGAGTAAAGCAGACTAGTTTTCGTCTTCAGGTGGTAAGAAAAACATCTTGAGCAAACTTAATTAGTTTCAATTAAGCAAGGAGAAGCTTATAAGTTAGTGTGGCCCAATTGAGAATGAGTAAATCCATCGGAGCAATGCAGTTCATGTCAGTGTAATCAAAGAGGCTTCCCCATTCTTATACAAAATGTTTTATGCACGGAAAAGGTCATTTGAGATTGAAATACAAATTAAACGGAATGAAAAAAGGAACGATTCACTTGGTTATCCTCATTTCTGCGCTGTTTTAACAGGTATAGCCAATAAAGTAGCCAGTCGATAAATTACCTCTTATAACTAAAATAAGCCGTTAGCCACGAACTCATCTCCGCAATGCGGACCTATAATTTTATGAAAAGAGCAATAAAAGCGAATGTTAGCGCTTGTCAATCATCATTCACTGGGAAATTCATGAGTTTACTGATAGAGCACTTTGATTCCAGGTGGTTAGCCAAATTAAAACAACGATTTTTTCTTACAGTTCCACTTGTTACAAGTACAAAGTTGCATAATCATAGCTATAGCCGCTTCGTCAATTCGTGGGATGGTGTTGAAGTTCAATTCCGCCGAATTTTTCCATATAATTAACCATACGCGCTCTTGAGCTTAAACATATTACATCACTCACTCAGAGCCATAATTATCATTACGTTTAGTCAAGATCCCTAATTAATTAAAGCAAGGTTTTTCAAGTAAAATTATGTCGAACACGAGTGACTACGTTTGACCACATCTCCAGAAACCGAGAAGAGAATTAAAAATACGACGCGCCGAGGAGTATTTTTCACGAATTTCGAGGTGTTTGTTTCGTCTTGTCGCAGAAGGTGGAGGGCAATTCAAATATGAAGAAACAATTAATCGCTCTAAAATCAATATTTACAGTGCATTTGTCAGTTTAGCTTGATCGATTTGTAATGAATTTAACGTCAACCCCCCATGCTTTGCCATGAACACAAGGCATGAGCTGTACTGGTTTTGCTCTCTTTTCATGAAATTGAATCACAAAGACATGCTACTACTAAAACCGCTGAACTACTCAACTAAACACTGCCAATGTGCGGCAGTTCCAGTAAAAACCAGCGTATACAAACCTGGATCTTTCCAGTTGGCCTAAACAGGTTCTATTTACAAATGCATGACAGGTTCATATGTAGGGGGGGGGGTCTAAATGAAGAATCTTGGCCCAACAGGGTCTTAAAGTTCAGTTCCTTATACGTGGCTGCTCACTGTATAGGAGGAGGAGTGAGGCATGCAATATACAATGCCGGATGACTCCTGAAACACAACAAACAAAGAAGAGAACGCACGTTAGGATTCGTTTACATAAAATGATATTGAGGCGGAAAAGGGAGTTCGTCTGTGTTGTTTCTCCTCTGTCAACATACTGCCAACACTTGTTTGTCGGCATACTGCTTTGAGGTCCTTGTTTAGGCCTCAAACGTAGATTTAGATCAACAAATTTTCCTTCGTTGGAGAGCGTAGTTTTGCATGAGCTATTTGCTTTATATTCCTTAAACAAGAATTTTTTTATCGACTTCCTAATTTCTGTTTGTGTTTTCTGTCTCTTGTTTCTATTTTCTATCGCTAAAATATTTTTTGCTCGGACGAACTTGGTGGGGGAGAATGAAAATTTGCTTAAGTGCCGAATGCCTTGGCTACAGAAAACTTGTTACAAACTATTTGCAGTTAGCTAAACCATTGTTTTTGTTGCTAGGTACTTGAAGTAAAAACAGTATACAAAACTAAACCTTGGTGGGGTGGGATCGTCTTGTATGCCCCTGACTTGGTTTGAGACCAATTAGTCGTTCATTTAAGACAAGGCAGTTATCTGAATTTGCATTTGTGAGTCTGTTAACCATTTAAAAACGCAATTATTTTACACTATCCAAGGCAATGAAAATTTTGTACACATATACCTAGCTATTTATTAACTTGAAGTGGATACAAATGAGATAAACTAGTTAGTGAAGCTCAAATACCTGGTCAACTTCCATTTAAAGAGAAACCCACCAACCTCTCTCCCCCACAGTCCAAGTTTTAAAACATCCAACATGAGGATTCCTCCGGAGGTACTATAGTGAGAAAGAATTACACATGCAGATTAAATATTGGTTTAGTTGAAATGCGTGTCATCTTAACAATTTAAAATGCAAAACTGTTTAGTGACAGACTGTCCCATTAACTCCTCATCTCTGCTGTAGGGGAAACGGTCGACAAGAGGGATTGTTCTCTTAAAAGGTAACTTCATATGCACTGGTTTTGATTTAGATGTTTGTGAGTCTGTTAGTGTTAAGTTTATTGCGCTGTTCGGTTCTTCTAACTATGTGCTACTATTTGAAGTTATCATCAAAGATAGTCAAACACCGTTTAGAATTATGAATTTTAGCGAGCCCTCAATTAAGTATACTAACACTTTAGCCGGTCACAGCAGTTTTGATGTAAGCTTAGCCCAGCGTAAAGGACCATGGCTTCTTTTAGATTTCCTCTTTTTTTATTTTCATAAGCGGAGACCCCATAACAGCTAGCCGCGATTTCTTTTTACGCTTCTCTAGTAATCTCCGTATGGATGACATCTTCTGTTTAAACCAGCAACATCCCTCAAGTGGCGATCCCTCTCGGAATGAAAAATCCATTTGAGAACTACCATACAGTAATTCAACTTACTTTACGTATCTATTCAGCTTGAATGAGTTTGAAGTTTTTTTTCTTTTTTCAGTCACATATCGAAACTTGGCTTACTAATAGCAAGCGAAGCACAACTAAAATATCGGGGAAGCAAAATGGCAACAATGGATTAAGTAGTATACATATTCGTAGGATCTAGTTTGATGCTTCTAGCTTGTGCAGGGTGGTATAATTAAATACACTTTTCTAGGCTGGTCTATTCTGTTCTGTACATTTTCTCTGAAATAAGTCATTTTATGTCACCATTTCTTTTAACATCGAGCATATACCTTAACATGATGATTTTAGCATTTTGGAAAACAGGAAAGAAATAAAGGCGCAATATAAATTCGCTTAATTGGATTGTTAAGATACATGAGTAATGTTTTACTAGTAAAGAATTTGACCATATTCAGAGGTTAACAATTGGCGCCACTGTTGAGACATATTAGAATTTCATTTTGCGACACCCTCTCTTACAGTTAGTCAGAATTGTGGCTTATAAAGGCTGTTTAAGCAGACTCATGGTGCAACCCCCACTACACGGTGTTCTTTATTTACGTCCCTAAAAGTACTTTTTAGTCCTAATATATCATTTAAATTATATGCAAACAGTTGCCCCACCTCAAGTGTCACAATATTAATAAAATCAATAAAAACTCAAGCTAAAAAAGGAAAACTTGTCCGTGTGGCCGTGGAATAACAGAGCCGATTGTCTATAAGTAGTTCTTTAAAGACTAAGAGGACTCAACACTGGAGTAAAACCCATTTTGCGGGTAAGGGCTAGCTTTCATCAGCAAGATTTCCCAAACATAAACATGTAGAAAATACGCTTCATAAAACTATTGCTATAATTATCAGTATTTCTGCCTTTTTTGACTTTTCATTTATTATGAAGTAAAAGGTTTTTTCGACCTAGCCACTTTAACCTTTTTTTTTCTTAATTTTGTCCGTTATTGAGGCATAAAATAACAAAAGGTATGTCGAAATAGTCAAGGGGACATATAGACTTTCCGCTAAAAGTCCTTAACTGCCTTCTCGCTCGAGGGAGATAAATAAGCGAAGGATTAATTAAGCAAAGGCCGACTTGTGACAAGTCAAGGCGACATAATACAGAATGAAAAAAAAAAAAAAAAAAAAATCTACCAACACAGCAATCCATCGCAAAAGTCTCATTTTCTTTGTAGTATGTCTTATTATTGGTATTTTTCTGCTAAAAAATTAATTTCATAGTTTCGTCTTAACTTTTACGCGTGAATACACCCGTGTCGGTACGATATGATCCAGGATATGATCGCAAGGATAGCTTTTTAGGATCGATCGTAGTATAGCTAAGTTTGTAGCCAACGCTTCCTGTAGCAATCAGCCTTAAGAAAGCTGCAGACTTTGCTCTTCTATAACTGATTATTTTCCATTCCTTCTCTTATGCAGGGAATCTTTAATCATGCGCCATTTCTTGAAAGTGCTGATTTCCATTGTCTTGATAATCTTACTGTGTAGTGGAGTGGAAGGTAATCTTAATAAGAAAGAAAATAAATAAATAAATAAATAAATAGATAAATAAATAAATAAGTAAGTAAATAAACTGATAACAGCCCATAATTGGTCAGATACTCTTGTGATCTATTCGTGATCTATTCATGTCTCAAGAGATTTTAAAATATCTCTTTTGTAGCGGGTCTATCGAAAATTTGAAATAACACTGGACGTAAATCTACTAATCTTGGAGCGCGACCAATGACTTGCTCCCACATTCCACCCCCACCTGGCTTTAAAATGCCGTCACTAAAGATCCCAGCTAATCAGCATATGTTTGTCTAATTTCATTCAGGCCGTAAAGGAAAAAGACCCAAGAACAAAAATAAACCTTCCAAACCTTCAGGTGGATTGAAGAATAATGGAGAAGAATGTGCACTTATTAGTGGTAGCAGTAGATTTCCTTGGGGACATTGCGCATTACCAGTTAGTTGCCCTGGGGATAACAAACTAAACTGTGCCAATGGTCTGCACTGCTGCAGGAACTGGACACCACACAGGTGATATAAGCCGACTTTCACTCAAAATCCCCAAACTGGGCGACCAGCGTCCAAATACTTACATGGGTACATTTTCCGGCAAAGAGAGCGTGGATTTTACAGTGTCGTACACAGTTTACAGCTAAAAATCTTGGTGGAACACTTGGCACTAGTGCAAAATAAACCACAGATCTCTTGCCACTATCCTTTCGACTTCTCAAGTATGCAAAGCTTATAAGAGGAAAAGCTTAGTTCACAAGGACCTGAACCAGATTACACACTTACTTATTTTCACACGAATGTCACTCCACACTTAGTTTAAATAGAGAAAAAGAAAAAAATGTTGTTGCGGACATTAGGAGTCGAGCCGTTTACCACTACACACCATCCAAGCGTTGACTGTAAAAAACCCAATTTTTTTTCAACTATACATACAGCAAGCAAAAATATATTTAACACACTGAAGCCCAAAACACAAAATGAAGGTTAACCTCGAGCAAACCGGGGTGGACCTAATCGCAAGCAAACCGGAGGGGAAACTAACCTCAAGCAAACCGGGGGAACTAACCACAATCAAACCTGGCAGAAACTAATCGCAAGCAAACTGGTGGGGGCGGGGGGACATCGCAAGCAAACCGGGGCAAACTAACCGCAAACAAATCAGGAGGGAACTAGCCGCAAGGAAGCCGGGGTGGATCTAACCCCAAGCAAACCGGGGAGGGGNGTATGTGCACATTCTTATGCTTGTCTATTTTACTAGTAGTACTAATATTCCTTGGCAGTCCAAATTAATACGTCGTGAAAGTCATCGATTTTGTTTACTTCGTATCTTCTTGAATCCAATGCCTGATTTAAAAAAAAAAAAAAAACAGCTGCTGGTTTAAACAGGTGCCATTTTCCCGCTCCTAGGTTTATGAATTATTCTGCAGCCGTAGAAAAACACTTGACTTAAATTGTACCACAATAACCATCTAAAAATAAATGTTCACCACATGTTTTTTAATCTCTCTCTCTTTGTTTTTCAGTGACGAGGGCAACATTTCAGAGGAGGAATATTCGGCTTATCTTAAACTTCGCGACAACCTGTATCATTAAGAGCGCGTCCATTTGACCAGTGAAGACTTCGACAAAGCGATCCGGTATCCGATTGAAAAAGGAGTAGAAAAATAAGGGCAATGGTGTTATAAGACCAACGGGTTTAAATCTTGGGATTCATTGTTGGTGTGAATTTTCATCCAGTTCTAAAAATAAAACTGATTAAATTATTACTTCTGTTTCTTTTATCATAAATGCCCCGAGTGCTCAGTTTCAGTTGTTTCCAGGACTTCTTAACTTATTCTAGATATCATGATTGGGAATTTGTTAAATTTACTTTTCATTCCGAATTTTATGGCCTGAAATGCCCAGTTTCTGCTATGAGACGTAGCATGAATGAACTAGGAGTATTTCTTCGCCCTCTATCCCCCTTAATGGATGCTTGTCACGTCCCAGGTTGGATCTTAACGTTCTTTGGCGGTCAGCTGGTACCTATTTATACTGCTAGATGAAGAGAATATCAGGCCATCTCACCTTCCACTTGTAACCATAAAAACACTAAAATGTCTTCACCCTCAGCCCCCTTAATGACCTTAATGGGATGCTTGTCACGTCCAAGTTGGATCTTAACGTTTTTTGTCAGCCGGTTCCCGTTTATACTCCTAGATGAAGGGAATATCAGACCATCTCACCTCCCACTTGTAACCATAAAAACACTGAAATGTGTTCGCCCCTCGTGGTTAACCGTTGTCAACTGAAAACTCCATTCAATAACAATATCTTTGGACGAAGCTCGTTTCAGGAGCATGCAGGGATGGCGCAATGCGTGGTGAGAGCAATCCCCTCCAACCAATGTGGCCCGGATTTTGACGCCGGCCTGAGGCCATATATGGGTTAGGTTTGTTGTTGGTTCCCATTTTTTTACTTCAGTTATTCCTCAGGTAGAACTTGTGACGAAACGTCAAGTTAATATAGTTTAGACCATGCGTTGTCTATTTGTAATGTTTGTAACTGCTGTTCGTTTCCTTTCCTCCTGAAATTTAAATGCGTTTATTGAAGTCGTTAGGCCTCGCTTAGTTCCCGGAAAAATGCTACGGCCTGGGGCAGATGTAGGATTTTAGTGAAGGGGTGCGAGATGCGAACCGGCGATGGCGGTCCCCTGAAAGGTGGATGGCGGTGGACAGCGTTATCCAGCCTTTGAAAAACTAGTACTAGGGCCTAGGAACTTGCTTTGGCTATCTAGGCGACTGATTATCTATACTGAACAAACAAGCATTTACATAAGCACTTTTACTAATGCTCCAACTTTTAAAATGGCTGAAAATCACTAGATAAGTATATATTTTTCGACAAACGTCATAGTAGCTCTGTGTCATGGACCGCCGTAACTGCTGAAATTCAAAATACGCTGGTTTCCACGCAAAGCACGCTTATGGTCTATTGAGCTGTAAAATTGCAAGAAGACATAACTTTACCGTCTCTTATGCCTGATGAGGATAAAAACTTTGGTGTCTCTTTAGTTTTGGATTTTAGAAAATGATGAAAACGATGTCACGTGAAAACGACCTATTAAAGGACACAATCATCAACTGTTATGTAATACGAGAGACAGTGTTCATCAGGATATCCAAACACCGAGGACAGAGTTGAAAATACGACGCGCAGCGGAGTATTTTTGACGAAATTCGAGGTGTTTGGATAGCCGATGAAACACTGTCTTGATCAGTGTTTGATATACCTTCTCAATCGAAACAAAAACTAAGGAGTAAACGGGAAAGTAAAATCATCAAAATCTATGCTAATTATGACCGGGTATCCAAACCTCCTCTACGGTTACAAGTGATTTTCTTTGTTGTAACTTGACGAATTATTAATGCGTTTGAGAGATAATCTATCAAAAGGTATTTCAATAAGCTGCTGTACTAAAAAACAAATCTAGTACCTCTCCTGCTGTCTGCTTTTTCTCGGGAATGGATTTAAGTATAACAATTTTATTGTCGATGTCATATCTTTGCGCTTTGAAATATGAAAGTTTCTGGCGGGAAGATCGCGGGGAAAATTTACATCACAAAAATGTTCCAACATACGGGCTTTCTATGTTTGCTAATTATTCATCGCAGGTTTAGTTGTCCACCATGTTTGTCGGTTCCTCGATGCTGCTGTTCTGTCTTTGTCGGTAAAGAAATGGTGAAAAGATTTGCTGGATTAAAATGAAGGCTGTTAGAATAAGACTAAGAATACGCTTTGACAGCCAGGAATCAAATGGACCATTCAACGCAAACGGAAGAAATTTGGGCAAACAAGGTACACGTGGAGTGTTAAATCTTTAGTAAACCTGTAATCCTAGGATGATTTTATATTATTCAAGGTAGAAGACTGCTATGTCTCTCTCACGCTCTAAAGAAGCGTGAGCTAGATGGGTTATCTTTTCTTTAACTTGCGGTACATAATGAACGCTAACGTTCGTGGTGGTTATTTCGTTATAGTGGACTGCCGAGTGCAAGTGTTTGGAAATCTTTCTGGACTTCACTCACCGAATCAACATTCTTCAATAATCTTTATTTTAAGCCATTAGTCTTAATTATGACTTTTGTAACATTGTACGTTTGTCAACAGAGGCAAAAGATGGATTCCTGTCAAAACGAATCTCTGACAAACTGAGCGGCACTAACCTCAAGGTGAGTACTTGAATTCTATGTTTTTTAGTCAGGACATCGACAAATCAACAGTTACTTTACACTGAGAGTGATTTACTGTAGCATTTGAATTGTGCTCAAAATATCAGTACCAACTGAAAGGGACATGCGTCTAAATTCTCCCAACATGTTTTAAAAATAAGAAATGCGTGTGGACAAGAATTGCAGGGTAATATAATATTTGATCATTAGAATGAGTCAGAGGAAACAAAGCCGTAAAGTCCGATAGTAAACAGCCCTGGCATTTTAGGGTTGACTTATTTTAAGGGATGAGGGACTCGGGTAGTCGGAGAAGAGGGGATATTTGGGAGAGGGGGAGGGAGCGAGGGGTTAATCATAATTTGTTATCAACTAGAATTTTTATAGCTCTTAATACAAAAAAAATTATGGGTCTTAACACACAAAAATTAAACAGTCAGCTCATGAACAGTTTTTAAAAAAAAAAAAAAAAAAACACTAATATGGTTTTGAAAGTTAAGGATGGATAGCAAGATAAAAGACATTCAATAACGATCATACAGGTATTTATTTCATGCGGCAAATAAGTGATCATGAAAATATACATGTGATTAATGCTTCAAATGAGTATACTAATTTCAGAGTATACAGCAAGACAAAAAAAGAAAAACAATCCTGACAATAAGGGGACCAAACTATGTACATGAAGTTGTATGTTATTCACTATGCAATAAGTGACTTTAAAAATTATTACCAACAGGGAAATACTTGAACGTTATTATGGTGCCATTATCTCTGGAAGTGGTTGAAGCCAATAATAAGAAGCCATGATGTCCTGGATCCACGGATCATTGTGTAACTCTTGTTTTATAAGGTATGTATATTACCTTTTTTGTCGAATTACTGTACACGTTTAGTTGGAAAATTAGCTTAGACTTATACAAGTTTCTTTCGTTTTTGCGTGCTAATATATTGCTTTCCGATTGATTGGACTTGCACAAGTTTGGCCTGCGATGTACAGTTTCAAAGTCTGTAGTTTCATAGCTGTTTTTTTTTTTTTTTTCTGCGACGAAGGGAGGTGTAAATAAATAAAAATATAGAGGAGCTGCGAATCAAAAGAAACTAATGATTGAATGGACGCCGGTATAGTAAAACGTTTTCAAACATTGATGTTATTTGCGCATATTCTAACAAAAAGCAAAAACAAAACAAAAAAACAAACAAGCAAATCAGAATGCTAAACAAAAAACTTCGTTTGAAGAATTGAATTGAATTAAAGTTTCTAGTCAGGATAATTTGTTGAGTAGCATTTAAACTTAACATGAAATAATGGCATGTTTCACCTAGTAGTCATCATACAACTGATTTCATATTATTATTAGCCAAAAAGAGTAATTACTTTATGACATGGCAAAGTCAGCTTTTTACGTGACTCGACTCAAAGTCCCTCACGTGCATTTGTTCTTTTCCATATGATCGCTGTTCAAACTTTTTCGTAAGCCGTGTATGGCGCGTCACGCAACCGGGCCTTCCGCGACCTGCGGAATGTAATTCCTTTTAACCCTTGTGACTTACATGCAAACTCATAACTCAGCGAGCATGGAAGTGGTGTGAGCCTATATTAGGAGTTTTCATTGTTGTAGACGGACATTTTAAAATTGTTCTTTTAAAAGATAGCCTGTAGCTTGTTCTACAAGATAGAATTGGATACTTATTATATGATGATGTCATTTGGCGCCATAGAATCGCCATCTTGGATCTTTCTTGTCATTAATTGTTACAGAATTCTGCCGAAAATGGACTAAAACGGGAGGAAGGAAACTTGAAAAAAAAAAAAATCATGTAATGAAGAATTAAACCTGAACATTAAATACTGAAAAACTTGTAATCAAGGCACGGTTGCCTTAAAAACATCAAGTAGGCAAATAGTTCAAAATTTTCGCGAGGGATGAATGAACAGCCACGGAAAGTTTTCAATCGAAGAGTGAAACGCCTGCTCAAACTTGAAAGAATTATTGCAAAGCATTTGCACGTCCGAGGGTTAACTTCCCAGTCTTCTCATTCAGTAATTATTTACTTTCATACGAGGTTTCCGAGACCTAACAAAATTTAATTCTTGTCTTTATATTTTAATAGCCGCTTTCAAGTCATAGCTAGTGATAGACTCGGTGTTCATATGGAAATGCTGACAAAGGAAAACAGTCAAGTTAAACTTTAAGCTCAATTTGGATTTCAAATCTATTAACGTGTGTATATGACAGATACATTTTATTTGCATGACGGAATCTACAAGAGTCATGATGTGGAAATTGAACAAAAATTGGATATCGTTTTCTCTTTACCGCGTTTTAGCCATCTGAAAATGTGGAATTTCCCTTCCGGTTGGGTCAGAAACCGCGAGGGATTAGGACCTAGGATTAGTCAGGCTAGCGCTGTGACGTCCAAACAAGAACGTAGGGCTACATTTCTTTCGTAAATGTTTACAATTTTGAGCCAAAATTTGAATTACGCTTGATTGCTTAATTCCTAGTATATTGCACTTATTCTTTTCGTTTCTATCTGTTTGGTGAAAAAATAATGATAACTAAAAAAAAAAGAAAAAAACACGGTGAAAACAACAACGTTATCCATTTTTTCAAGATTCCCATATCACAGTGTCGTGTAGATTCCATAAAGCAAAGAAAAAATATATATTTCATATACACTTAAGAAGAAAACTGTAACTTTGGCAAGTAATTAATGGAACTATTTTGGCATGTTTTGGTTAATTGCACCTGTTATACTCCTAGCTAGCAAAATTGTGAAAGGTTTCAGCCGGGCAAGTCCAACAGAGATTCGATTTTCTTTTAAAATTTATCGGACGTTATCGGATTATAAAAGAGAATCCTTCATTGCGTGACTTTCGAGAATTTAAGGACGTTCGCGCTAATTGTTTCTGCGCATCCTTACTGCGCATGCAAATACACACGCCACGTCATGCATCAGCGCGCGCGCTAAGTAATAAAATGAACAATGATAGGGCAGATGGCCATTGCTATAGCTTTGCTTGGATTTAACGATCTTGGACGTGCGGTGACTCTATTTTTTTCCTTTGATGGATCATTTTCTCTACCCATTTTCTCCGTTTAGTGAAAAAAGGAAGAAAATCTATCGATTAGAAGTTTGAATTTTTTACAAAATACACTATCGAATTCCGTTCTTTTTAGCTCTTCGTTTATTTGTGCGGCGGTTTCAATTGCCTCTTGAAAGGTTAAGTTTTCTGAAAACGTTGGCAACATTTAGAATTATTTACGCTACTTCTACAAAGCACGAGTAAGATCGTTTGCCTCCGTTGACTCACCTTCGATATTTTTAACTATAAACCCCTGTAGACTATGCTGAATTACGCGCGCCAATTTTTCAAAATCAGAGCAGTTTTTCACATGCTTTATCTCTGAAACGAAGTCGGTGAACCCCATTTTTTCCCTAACATTTCTGACACAAGTAACTCATTTTCTGACTGCAGTAAAAATTATAAAAAAAAACGTCGACTGGAAAATTTTCGCGCGAACTTCCTTAACAGTGATTTAGTAAGGTTATTTGCAATTCATTTTGTCGTTACACAATTTACAGTACATCGAAACGTCTCTCAACCCGCTTAAAGTGACACTGTCACGATATATTTGCTTAAAACAGTTATGAATTCACGAAATGGTCCCTAAATTTATGTAATAAGAACTTAATTAGCTCTAACTAAATTAAAAGCAATTTCTTGAAGAAAGTCTGCACTGCAGCAACATTTTTGCAAAATTTTAACGATTTTCTGGCATCCTGACACTTTTTCAAAAAACCATATCACAATCCGTTTCCATTCTCGCCATATTTAGTCATCCTCACTTCTTAATGGGTTCTAATCATTTGTCGAGTACTGCTCAACAAAATGTTTTCAGTCTAGACCCCCATTTTTACAGTATAAATAGCTTTCCAAAACATTTTGACGGTTTTACTTTTGAAAACGTATGTTGACTAGCATACGAAACGTCAAGTTCATAAAATGCATGTTTTTAAAATGTTTATCACCACTGTTTGTTTTATATTTTCAATAAAGCTAAAATGGCCGAAGACCAAGAGTTTAAATAAAACCATTATTGTTCAGCTTTCAAGGATCGATATATGTTTTTGAGATTTCCAAAATCAATCAATCATGTCCCTTTAATTTTGAATTGTGGACAAAACATTGCGCTTTTGAACGCGTCTAAAGAGTTTCATTTGTGATAGTGCAAGGAAAACAAGATTTTCGATTTTTGTGGTCGATTCTGTAGAGTAATGTTTCATCCAAGGCATTCAAACGCAACGACTTAAAGACGACAACAATATCTTGTTGTGATAACCGTTGTGTTTTTCTTTTAAATTAACAAATTTGCATCTTTTAGCACAATCTGCTACATTCAAATTTGCGCACACTTCCAAAACAGCGTCACAAACTAAAAATCTCATTGTTACCGTGGCCAGCCATTATTAATAATCTTTTGCATAAAACAGTAATGTATATTGGAGGAAAAATTGATGTAAGTTAAAAATATCTCCCGTTATAAGTTTAACGTTATTAACGTGCATGTTTTAAGAGTTATTTTTCACTGCTGAATTTTCGAAATATGACCATCATTTCTTATGTTATTTTTTATTTATATTGCAGGTCGAAAGAAGTTAATCGTGCTATGAAGCGACAAAGAAGCTGTCAAGCAAACAACCTGCGGCGAAAAAAGTTCTGTCCGTGCAAGACGTTAAATGAATAAAGTTGACGTTTGAACAGTTCGATTGGTAGCGAAAGAGGCAATGCTTTCTTAGTTACCTCAAAACATGTGCTTTGGACCTTTTGGCAATGGAAATAACTGCGCTTTTGAAAGAGGCTTCCATGTTGAAAAAAAAAAAAACTAAGTCTTTTGGCGGGAAAATTTACTGCGCTATTGAAAGGAGCTTTCATGGCGAAAAAAAAAAACTAAGTCTTTTGGCAGGAAAAAAGGCTGCGATTTTGAATGGAGTCTAGTATTGAGTCATGAATAAACTAAGTCTTTTGGCGGGAAAAATCTCTGCGTCAGCAGCAGATTTCTCCCATCAAAAGATGGTGTTTATTGCGATTTTATACTAGACCCCATTTAATTTTGCAGAAATTTTTCCCGGCATCGGCAACCTTACATAGTCAAAAAATAGTAAAAGAGATAGCCTACATTCCGACTAGTTTCCAGGCCCCTTTCGGAAGCGCAGATTTTTTTTATTCTTTCTCATTTAAATAAAGCTAGACTCATTTATTGATTACAAGTGTTTGTTTATTTCAACTATTAAACACAAGTATTGTACTACAATGTTGTACGTGTTAATTAACTATATTTCTAAGTATGACTAAGATTTGTAATTACAATAAACACAAAGGCGAAATTTCGCTGTTAAAATTATCAACATTAAATCTAGCAAACTCTGAAATATAATCTAAGTATTTTGGTTATTTAATTAAGCGATAAATCTGTAGCAGGCATAATAGCCTGGCTATAACTAGGAAATAATTTTTGCTTATTTGTCAAGGTTTTTTCTCCAACAAAATTATTGATTATAAGTCCGAGAAGCAAACAGTGCTTTTACAAAGAGGCGTCTTCTGACAATCTTTGTGAAATAAATTAAGTCTTTTTTAGTTGTTTGGTTTTCGCGATTAAGTCTAGGCAAAATCTTAGAAGTTTCTGCTAATTTGCTAGATTTTGGCAAACTTGAAACATAACGTACGTATTTCTTCAAGCTTGGACCCGTGCAATATGTCAGGAAACAGCGTAAATTTAGAGTCGCATGAATTGTTTTGGCATACATTCAAAAAAGTAATTTCAAAAGCAGTTTCAGGATAATTCAGTGTTTTTGTGAAATCAATATTCCTGGCTAACGTATAAAGCTAGTTTGTAGATTTTTCCCACGCGGTATGTAGAAATTAATTTTCGTCCAAATCAAATGTAAAATCTGGAACAAACTTTGAAAATTGCGTGATCAAATAACGATGAAAATTGGTTGAAACTGGCATTGTTGACAACTCTGAATGAATCTTAAGACAGTTCAGTAGATTTTTGCATGATTTTGACAGCCAAACACTGACTGATAAATTTGAAGAACAAAAATCAGATAATGAAAACTGGTTGAAAGTTGTTTACGACTCTGAAATGATTGAACTCTCAAGACAATTCAGTAATACTTGCATAATTTTGACAGCCAAACACTGACTGATAAATTTGATGAAAAAAAAACGATAATGAAAATGACTGAAACTTGTGTACGACACTGAATGTGCTATTATACAGGCAAATCAATGGATCCTTGCTTAGTTTTGACAAACAAATACTGAATGATAAATTTTGTTTCAAGTGTTCTCTGAAATCAATGTGTAGCTTGTGAAAAGTTTGACCGAAATCAAATATCCAATTTGGAGCAATTTTATCTTGTTAAGTTGCAAGACAGTTATAATGAAAATTGATCAAAGCTTATACTTCTTTAATTTTGGCAAACAAATTCTGACTACTGAATTTTGTTTCACAAAATGTTGCGAAATTAATACGGGTAGCTAACTATACTGGCCGAACTTTGGTGAACAAATTGTAGAGTTTGACCGAAATGAAATGAAATTTTTGGAACAACTGGTAAATTCGAGATGAAATTGTCGAAATATGTTTCTACATCTCAAATCGGTTACGTAGTTGTCGAGAAGAAAATTAACAAGGCCTCCTTGAATATCGCACGGGTCGTAATGCAAGCAAATTTAATTTCGCGATTACTTTATACTAGTTGGTGAGAATTTATGTGTTAATCCAGACAATTTCTCACTGCTGATCAGTTCAGTCTTTCTCCTGACCTAGACGCCTAGCATTGTACTAATGTTTTGAGGAAAAAGCAGATTTTGATCACTAACTTAGCGGCTCGTATGACATTAACGTTATTTACCTAATGAACTACAGAAAGATCTTGTAAAAATGTGATCCAGCATCTTCTTGTCGATCGACTTGCTTGTGTTGTCCGCTGAAATCCGGAGCTGAGAAAGGCTGAGGGAAAATAACAAAACTCCATGTAAACAACAATCCATTTTACACGGTTTGTTGTATACAAAAAATTTATGTAATTAAAAGTAAGTATAGACGGCAGGGGTGAAGGATAGTCTTACGAAATTTTCGCATTGGAAGGTGAATTATATTTTATATACTTATGTTGAGCGATTATTCGCAGGAGCAGAATTGAACATGAATTTTTTCCCTGTTAATTGTCGTCAGTGATCAGTTACAAGGCTTAGACTAGGCGACAAAGTAGTTAACATTTTTTTTTCAGGATCACAGGATTTTGGTTTACATATTAATGATGTATCTGAGGACATGAACAACTTGAACTCCTCATAGATTTTTATGGACAATTTCTTTATGTGTCAGTTTAATTTTCCCCAGCGAAAGGTTTTGTGATTTGAGATACTCTATAGCTCTCATTTGTAAGTCTGATGCGAGAAAGAGACTTTTTAAGACAACATTGTTAGCACAATATCCGAGCTAATTTGCATTATAATAAAAAAAACCAACATGGCGCGGGCATGGCGAGCAGCGTCTACTGAAGTTCATTCAAGGTCACCCGAAATGAAACGACAAAGCATACGTCATTAAAATATGCAAACTAAGTTTCAGCTTTCAAGAATTATCGCAAATTTAGATAAAATGGTCTCTAATTGCAAGCGATAAGGAGAAAATAACTAGGAGAGTGTCAACAGTGGAACATATCGGAGAAAATGTCTCAGATCTTAGCTATTTTTAGCATTAATAAAGTGTTTGAAAATAGCCCGAATGTTTTTGCACCGCTGTGATCGAATCGGTAATGAGTTGCTTTTTTTTAAAGAAAAGTATGCCAAAAAGTCACTTTAAATCAAGACAAGAAAAATGAAAAAAAAAAAATCCCTGTCGCGGTGAAATCCTAGCTGATACAGTTGATTCCAACCATCCACACATGTTTGGCTCTGGCAGATTAAAAGATTGAAAACAGGTTCTAAACTTTGGATCGTAACGGCTCAAACAACCTTAGCGAGAAATATTTGTACAGAGCTTCTAAACGTGTTAATGTTATGGTCTGAACGGGTAACATCAGACTGGCTTTTTATTGCCTTTGAATGAGATTGAAACCGTGAAACAATCAACTCACCGTTGTCCTTAGCAGGGATTTCAGTAAGGTTCCAGCTCAAAGCGGCATTTTGTCAATCTGTAAAATAATTCAGAAGATAACCTAAATAAGTATCCATGTTCATAAAGCAGCTTTGATGGCTTTTGGGTACTATCATTTCAATGTACTTATAATTAACAGTTTTAGGCGGCACTGGTCAAGCTAATGAATGGAGAGATACCCCAATTTTGCCTATAAAACAAAATGGCGAACTTCAGGTAAACTGCCTTTAAACTTCAGGTTATAACACTAAAGCCGAACTGAACAAACTATGTCGTCCCTAGCCGCTTCATATCAGTTACAATTTCCTTTATTTTGTTATCAGTTGACTTATTTGTGTGTAAATGTAATCACTTGATGCAAGAAGAACTGTTACCTGTAGAAGTCGTCCAAATCAAGTTATTGATATCTGGATGATCGCCTGATAAAGTCTTGGTGCCTTGGGTTCTGTCCTGTTGTGGAAAACAATCAGAAATAAAATTGTGAGCTTAAAAGGTGCATGTCACTTACATGTCTCTCAAGGTTCACATTGGAGCTTATTGCCTAAAAACTTATTTTTCTGTCGTCTAAAAAGATTTAACATAAAAACGTCTTGTTGCTTTGCAAGAAATAAGGACTCCTTTAGCAAACGTTATAATGAATGTCCGAAATTGAGAATATCGCATATCATTAATGTCCTAGAGACAATTAAGCCTCTTTCCGAAAGTACGCCTCGAAATAAACACTCTAATTCACGAGTTAAAAATGAAAAATGAAGCAAATGGAAGCCTAGCTAGGAGGGTTTTTTTTTTTAGAATTTTCTAGTAATCGGGTGATATACAAGAAATTTGAAAATAAATCACCAAAAATGCATTAAAATATATGCAATCTGGCGCCAAAATGATTGTTGACGATGGTAGAAAGTCGATTGTACGTGAATAAGACCATCACTACTTTACCAAACGTTTAGAAACTTATCGCGTAATCTTTTGCCACTCATTGCTAACTTTTCTACTACAACCGTTAGATTGAGAAAAATATACTTTAAGAGTGACCAACATTATGTATGATATAATTCAGTTTCCATGTAAATTCTCAAAGGCAGACACATACTTCGTTCGTTAGTACCGAATTTTTCTTTGACGCTTTCAATTACCAATAGGAAATTTATGATACCTTCAGTTAAAATTCAGTAACTTATAACGTTCCTTACCTTGAAGGCGAATCAGGGCCGTTTACCCACTGAGGCCAATTTCCGCCGTCATTGTTCACACGAAGCACGTGCTCGCAAGACCTGGTTGAAAATAAAGTTCTTGGCCAGGTATTTGCGGTTCAGTACACCTCCAAGAAATGTCACTCCTAAATTGAAGCCGGCAGGATGCTTTTGCGCAGCAATAAGCGAGGAGAGAGACAGGTTTCCGCTCGTTATATTTAACATGGAAGGCAAACGTCCGACATCAAGAACGCCACACGGCAAATAGTTTATCACGTGCATGATTTACAATGCAAGTTTTCAACGTGGTTATCACACGATGAGCCTTGGTGTCAATGGGACTGTTTGATTGGTTCTGTTCACTTTATAATCACGTGCGGGATATTTAAAACAATGTTTATAGTAATGTTTCCGAGCAGTTTCGAAATGTGTCTGGCTCAAAGGTTTTGATGACATTTATTAGAATCAAAATGAACATGACTCTCAATACAAAAGCTAAGTAAAATTTCACATCAGTTTCTTGATTTATTCTTCGTTTATTTTTACAGGGCAAACATACCAGTTTTTGTTTTAAAAAAAAGAAACTTTTCGTGATGATGAGGGAGATTTTTGGTGTTATTTGGTTTAGTTGGGCAGTTGTATAAATTCCACAAATTTTCGGACAGTGTCTTCTTCTCGTAACCCTTGAAATTCCACTGACGGGATAAATGTACTGTTCCAACGGTTTGCATGTTTGTGTGCCCCCCCACCCGCCCCTCTCCTCCGCGCCTCTCTCTTTCTCCCATAATCCCTTGTGCAATATTTTTCCCGTGGAGGTGGTGGAGGTTGCACTCCCTGGCTATTTGTATTTTTTAATTTCTCCACTTGATGATTTGAATGAATGCAGTGAAAGGAAAGCGGAAAGGGCAAGATATAGTAAGCTAATTATATGCCATATAATTAGATGCATTTATTTTGTGATAAAAAGAAACCATAGTATAAGAGAGGAAAGAGTAAACATATGTAAAGAAATAGTTTATGTATAGCGCTTATTAATACTGAGAAAATAAAACTGGTTAAGTGCTTCTTTAATTTGTTTTCTAGTCGGCTTTCCCAGCGTGTTCCCCGTGTTACGTGATGCTTTATCTGTTCTTTTTAAATGCGTTCCGTCGCACTCTTTCTGGATCGTTTCTTTGTCCTCGCCCACCGCAACTCCTTTATATTCCCTGTGTGTTTCCTGTACTCTTCCTGGACCATTCCTTCATTCTTTTTCCTGTGTGATCAGTGCATTTACTCGTACATTCTACGAGCTTTCTTCGTTTTTCCCTTCATGTAATACGCAACGTTATCCATTGACCAACTTTGCCAAAACCCAACCGGCCGTACCCTGACTGACACCTGACATTGGGCCGACACCCGCCCTGTAATATCCTTTAATCATTCTACCTTGCCTTTGCTAGATATTTATTTTATTTTGACCAGCAGTATTTCTATTCTCCCCTGTTTATATGCGCGTTAGTCCGTCACAGGGTACTCCCAGCATTAAAGTTTGAAGTTCAATTTATGCACCTGGTTGTAGAGTAATGCGTCTTTTCACAGAGAACAACGAAATGACGTCGACCAGAGCTCTAACCTAACCTAGGACCCAGATCTCTCTCTGTTTGACGCTGAACTGTGAAGCTTAGTCGTGGAAGATCATTCATGCCCGACAAGTGCCCGGGGTGGTGGGGGGTAGGGTGCGTGCGATTGGAATTGACAGTACCATTACGAATGCATGGCGAGAGAAAAAGTATGTAGTCATCTTTACAAGGCAAATAACCAAAAAGAAAAGGAATGAAGTGGGGGAAATCAAATCCAAATAGGATATTCACAAACCTGATAAGCCGGGAAGCCCCTGAGTGAGGTATGCGTTTCAACTGAACTGAATGTTGTGTACATGGAACGTGTTCAACCATCAGAACGACCGGACGTTTTTTGTGTGTAGGGGGACACATTGAAATTCTTAGAAGAATCTTACAGAGAACACGGAAAGCCTTTTGCTTTAAAGTGGATTTTTTCCTTATTACCCCACCTGAGGGGGTTTTCTGACCGGATAAATTAAATTTGATTGGCTCTGTAATACTTTTACAATGCTATTCATAATCAAATTTAAAAGAACAAACGTATCATAACAGTCGTACAATCTAATGCAAAAAAGCAGTGTTGAAAAGTCAACGCGCAAGGAGGACGAAGACTGGGTCGTTAGACAGGAGTGGAGGATTTACTAAGATGTAGTATGGCGCATTGTCACTTCAGTCTTATTGTAGAGCAGTGATAAAAACAGAAAAGGAAACTGAGTAACGCACTCCTGTTTAGTCGTATATAAAGAGCAATACATACAGTATTTCACAAATTAACTTCAGCAGCAAGCCACCCATTTTCATAAGGTCATTAGGTAATCGGGCGAATGAGAGAGCAATAAAAAATTTACGAGCAATATTTAAAAATTCTATCACAATTTAAAGCTCCTGGAATTTGAAAGAATTTTGAAATATCACGAGTAGTTTAAATTCTTATCTGCTCGAACTTTCATAGGATTATTCGCTTATTACATCATTCAAACTTACCAATACTCGCGAATTAATTGCGCTGTAAATTAAATTTGAATTTGCCAGCTCTCAGCCAATAACAAAGAGGTTAAAATAGAAACGGAAGACTTGCTAAATTTAAAGCAAATGTTTCCCCCTTTTATGCATTCCCTTTCTACAAACTTAAGCACATACAATTTTTTTCAACATGAATACTTTTTAAAGCATTTTATTTAAGACAACTGTTCAAGCTATTATGAAGCCAACCGTGGAAAGCTAACTACACGGGCAACATCCTCTAGAAGATCAAGAATAAACATTCTTTCTGTGAATGAATGTTTGAATGTCTGAATGTACAATAAAATGCCTTCGACGTACACCAGGGCATATTTTTTTATCCACGATGGTGAAGGAAAAAGGGACAGAAAAACTGTTCTCGAAATGTACAGTGGGATAGACGTTCCAGTCAATGACATATTCTGCCAGGTTTACACAGAAAGACAAGATTTATAGTCGAAAACCACATTCAAAGTAATACAGCTATCAATAACTTGAGTTTCCACGCTAAAGCTCGAGCCGTTGACGTTCTTTGCTGTTCAAGCTCTTTACACCACTGAATCAGACTGAGCAGCTTTGACTAAAACCACGTTTCTCCGCATTATGGCCATCAGCTTTACGAAGGCAAAATCTCTTCATCCAGGTTCGAGTAGTCTCCTTTGGTCTCACTTTGTAGCCTTTGTTTTGGTCGTCTCGCTCTTAGCTGTTGCGTGACGCTGGGGAGACTGGACTGCGAGGCTCCATAGTCTTTTCAGCAAGCACCATACAGTGATTCCATGATAACAAATATCTTCGTTATTCCCGCTTAATAGCAGAGAAGCTCTGTTTATTAAACCCAACATGAGGCATTTTCCTTTTCACAGCCAGTGGACTGTCCGCAGAGTATTTACACAAATTGCCATTCCATTTTAAGTCGATGTTAGAAAACGGCGTGACGCGGTGTTTTTTGTCACGCAATCCATTATCACGTTGACCTGGCCTGCTCTCGTGTGACTCCAGCTGTTTTTGGCATCTTCTTACTAGAGCTGTCTTCTAGTTCCTTGGCTTTATAATAGTGAGGTGCCACCTCCAGAAGCCATTTGTTTTCAATCTCTATAATCTAATACAGACAATGAGAAAAGATAGTGATTAATGACTACATTATTCCTTTCTGCTTACGCTTACCCTCCGCACTAAGTTTAAGGTCCACCATAATGAAATTCCCAGAATGAATTTTGAACATTTTGTCTTGCGTTTGATTAGCGTTCTAATCAGTTCAAACTGTTGTTCGTCCCACTCTAGAACTAATCAGATCAGAAACTGATTGGTTTCAACCAATCAGCTTCTTACATAACCTTTGCCATGCTTGGGAATGGCGAGTGTTCACTCAACCTGATAGTGTAAAGCTGACGTTTGATGCAAGGAGTTATGAGTAGTAGCAAGGTTCAAAATACCTGTCTCATGAACTCTTTAGTAGTGAACACTAGCTCGTGATAGATGACCCATCTGGGCTGCTCCTGGAACAGGCTACTGTTAGGATGGATCATGACAGTCTGCAAACAAAACGAGCAAAGGAAAAAACAGAAACACATGTTACTGCAATAGGTCAGTTCCAATTTAACTCTGACACGAGATAGGTGGAAATTAGAAACGTGGGAAACCTCTCATGGAAAACCCAACAAGAGAGCGTAGCTCATTTGCAACAGACCTCGTTCCGAAAAGGAGGCTACAAGCACTCACAAATGGCCTACAGTCTTAAAAACAGTTTTTGGTGTAGACAGTTCAAAGCGAAATGTAAACAAACCAAGGCGTGGTAAACTAAGATATGCCGCGGCAAACTCGAGTTTCTGTATTATGAGTCTCACGGGTAGCTGATTATTGGTCTTGTCTCCAATCTTTGTAAACAAGCCCAGACAGTCTGCGAAGAAGGTGAAAATTTAGGCCACAAATCAACCACGACTTCTCGGTAGAAAAAGTTAGCTATTTATCTATTTTTCAAGTTGATAAAGGCAAATTCACGGCCGTAGCGAGTTTGCGAAGCTCGAAGCGAAACAACAGAAGCTACTGACCTGCTGATGTTTGACTGTCCTGTACTGTCCACTCTTGCTCAGCCTGGCTGTGTGGTAAAAGTAGCCAGCTGTGATCGCCTGACGAGCAAAAAAAGGATGAGAGTCAGCCCTACGCACCTACGGTTTATTTGCCTTACAGGCATTAAAAGGAATATGAAGCAACTGACAGAGAAAATCACTATTTTGAAAGGGGGAAGAAAAGGGTGAAAAACAAGACTTCATGAAATGTCGGCAGCTGAGGATACGTAAAGCGCGCATCATAATCCAGTGGTGCACGCCAGTGGCGTCAGCATAAGCAAAGTTGACTTCTCTTCGCTTCGCCTGAGTTTCATTGTACAATTTCCACTAGCAATGTTATACAACAATTGATTCATGGTTTAGCGTGCATCACCATCAAATTTAGATGCTTGCGGAAGGTCTGGAGATTCCTCAAGGAGCTAAACTCTCACGCGTTTCTTATGCTCTCCAAACTTCCTGCGCACACCATAACTAAATGATGCACGTTAAAGCATGAATCGATAGTTATTTCTCAAGGAAAATTTTTCAACAGATCACGATTGAAACTTAAGCTTGATTCAGAACAGAATGAGAAAACGTGCTACTCTTTCGGCTGGTATCCGGTCTCCGGAAATTACTGAAGACGTGATTTTTCCCGCGCACATCATGACTCGACAATGAATGCTAAAGCATAAATCCCTCGTTAATTTAAGGAACCGTTTTCAACCGATCATGGTGTAAATATTAGCGCGTTTCAACAGAGAGCAAGAAAACCACTATTCCGGCTGGTTTCCCGCAAATGACTAAGCTGAACACCCGCACACAGGCTTATCACAAATGGCGTGTTGTTTCCTTTCCTTGTTACCTTTCTTATAGGAACCGAGTCGTTCGGATTCGACGAGATCTCAATCTCTACCCTCTCCATTAGTCCTTCCAGCTGTTCCCGGACGTCACGTGCTCGTTTCATGGAGCGGTGCTGTATAAAGTTCTCAAAGCACCACTGCGTGGAGTACCCAGTCTCCACCCACTGGTCATACACGTTCAACAAGGTCAGGTGATCTCCGCCGGGACGAAAGAAGTTAATGCGCGCGTTGTCCGCGTGCACAACTTTATCCTTGGGACGGTAGAAAATGGCGTTGTTTACCGATAGCATGGCGGTGATGGTGAGAATCTGCTCCACGCATTTGTATCTGGAAGATTAATTTAATAAGTACATCAAGGTGCGTTGTGGACATCTCGCAAAGCCGGTTTGTTACTCGTTAACACGAGTATTCCATAAACGTTGGTTAATTCATGATCTGATTTATACAAGACGAAAAATATAGGTCCGCAATGCGAACTTGTGTGGGATTTCAGTCAAATAAAAGTTGATGCTCTATGGATAAATCAGAGAAATTGTAGCTTTACAGTGAATATTTATACATTTTGTCGTGTTGTAGTGATGAACGTCGAGTAAAGATACCGTAGAGTCCTGATTATAAGATCCAGGTTGCAGATGAAAAAACGGTTACAGGAGAAACATGTTTGGACTTTAGTTTCCAGGAAATTCACTCCCTTAAGGATTAGTTACACGGAACTCTTTACCGTGGTAAATGATCCTTTTACCAGTGAGTATGACCAATATTTCCGGAGGTAAATTTCCCGTAGTTAATACCCATGGATACATAAAAAAGATCACATGCAGAGCCCTTGACATTTAATGTGGTCAGTTGCATTGGTGTTTTGATGTCTAAGGTATTACGAGCAAATCACGTTTCTCTGCTTGTCATTAATATGTAACCGAAAAGGAAAAATGTTTTTCCTCCATGTGCCATTTTTGTTACCTTGGCAAAATCCCGTGTAACCGTTGTTTCACAATGTATACTAAAACCCAGCAAAAAACAAAAACAAAAAACAAAAAAAATTCAAGGGAGGAGGGGTTCATTGAAAGAGTCATTGAAGTAAACACATTTTGCAGGTTAGGCTTGTTTTTCGCAGCAGGGGCGAAAAAAAATGACATCATCGAAAAGCAAGTGCACACGAGACGGTTTAGTTTTTGGTCGTGAATTTGGACCGTGCAATCAAAAATAACGTGGCCTGTTTCGTCGGGATGCCAGATGACCTGCTATATAACTGGGACAATTAATGTTCCCGAACACAACTTTTGAATCGCGTTGGCTAGGGGATGTTTACTGTGGGAACAGCTTTATTTTATTAGCTACATTTGTCCTGGATTTGTTGATTAGTCCCAGTGGAGACAAATAGATTAGTTAGCCTTAGCTCTTACGCAGATGCTCCCCCGCCCCCCTACCCCCACCCCTTCATGAAAAATTCAGACTGTATCCAGTCGAAATTGTTCGGAAAAGTACTCTAAGGCCATAAGAGTTA